CTAGTTAGGAGCCTCCAAGCCTGCTGAGCCAAGAGGGCCTGGTTGAACAACCGGTAGTCATGAAACCCCGCACCTCCTTTTCCTTTTGGTTGTTGCAGTTTCTGCCAAGACTTCCAGTGCACCTTTCGTTTCCCTTGTTCTGCACCCCAATAAAAATTTCTCACCATCACCGTGAGATCATCACAGACAGAGTAGGGTAGTTTAAAAAATCCCATGACAAACACCGGAAGGGCTTCAGCGACTGATTTGATCAGAACCTCCCTACCCGGTTGGGCTAAGTGCCCATCTCCCCATTGCACTAGCCTCTTCATTAGCTGCATCTGTAGATTTTGAAATCTCCCTTTAGACATTCTGCCATTTGGTGTTGGTAACCCCAAGTACTTCTCTTCGAATGCAATGCTTGTAACAGATAAAACATCCCGTACATCCTCTTGGTCATTCATCGGGCAGGCTTCACCGAACATAATCGAGCACTTATTATAGTTTAGTAACTGGCCTGTAGCACTTGAATACAAGTCCAGACATGATTTAACTTCTTCGGCTTGTGCACGAGACGCCTCAAAAAATAGGAGTGTGTCATCAGCGAACAAGAGGTGTGATATGCCAGGAGCACGCCGACAAACCTTTATTGGAGTAATCAAGCCCACTTCAACATGCTGTCTCAGAATTGCAGACAGACCGTCAGCCACGAATAAAAACAAGAAAGGGGAGAGCGGATCACCTTGCCGAAGACCACACTACGGTGCAAATGAATCCAAGAGGGTTCCATTGAATCTCACAGAGTATCTCACCGATGTGACACAAGTCATAATCCAGTCAATCCATCGGTGAGCAAAACCCAGCTTTTCCATCACTTGCTTCAAGAAGTTCCAGTCAACCCGATCATATGCTTTTGATAGGTCAAGTTTATACGCACAAAAACTCTTAGTTGGATCCTTTTCTTGCTTGATATGGTGGATGCATTCGAAGGCGATCAAAGCATTGTCTGTTATCATCCTTCCAGAGATGAAGGCACTTTGTTCAGGGGAATAATTTCATCCAGAAGTGGCCTTAGTCTGTTAACAAGGCATTTAGAAACCACCTTATAGATCACGTTACAGAGACTAATAGGTCTGAATTCAGAAAGTCTTGTAGGGGTAGCAACTTTTGGGATTAACACGATAGAGGTCTCGTTAACCCCTCCTGACATGATACCTGTTTTAAAGAATTCTTTAACAGCCCTGATAATACTTTCCTTCAAAACCTCCCAGTTTCGCTGAAAAAATCTAGCTGGGAACCCATCTGGGCCCGGCGCCTTTAAGGTCCCAATCTGGAATAGAGCATCCGAGATCTCCTGGTTAGTGAATTCAGCACAGAGCTTATCATTATCGTTGTCTGTTATCACCATATGAACCAGATCCACCACCCCCGAAGCCTCTAGGGACGGAGCTGCTGTGAATATTTCCTTAAAATAAGATGTAGCCATATTACTCATAGTAGCAGTATCTGTATAGACATTCCCATCAGCATCATGCAACTCTTTAATTCTGTTTTTCCGTGCACGCCATACAGACTTACTCTGGAAAAACTTCGTGTTCCTATCTCCCTCTTTCAGCCACATGATACGTGAGCGTTGCAACCATAGCATCTCCTCTTTGTACATCAGCTCATTTAGTTTGTCAGACACCTTCCTTATTTCATGTCTATCAGCATTCATTCGCATCAGTTCTTCAAGCTGGCTGCGTGATTTCTTGATTTCCCTTGTAACATTCCCAAACCTTCGGTTACTCCATGACCGTAGTGATGACATAGTTGATTGCAAGGCAACACTGACTTGTCCAAGATTATCCATTACACCGAAAGCCGACCACGCCTTGTTTACAAGATCTGGCAATTCTGCATCCCGTTCCCAAAAGATTTCATAACGCCGTACGTTGGCTTTAGGCCTCTCCTGCTCTGCATCAAACTTTAGCAACAATGGGATATGGTCCGAACAAGGGGATGCAAGGTGTTGTACAGAGGAGTATGCGAACATGTTTCTCCACTCGTTTGTTGCCACCGCACGATCCAGCCGTACGCGTACATTTGCCGACCCCGAACGCATATTGTCATATGTATAGGGTATTCCCGAAAACCCCAAGTCTACTAACTCACATGTCATTAGTACATCCCGAAAAGCGGCCATCTGAGCTTCTGGCCTAGGCGTCAAGGACATGTGTTCAAAGCTCCACAACGCCTCATTGAAGTCTCCGATTACTACCCAAGGCAGGTCCGAAGCTTGCTTCAACGATTGAAGTTTAGTCCACATCAAGTGCCTGTTTTCAACCCTTGGTTCGCCATAAACTGAAGTTAATCTCCATTGCTCCCCGCCGGGAGAGCTAACAGCAATGTCAATGAACCTGTCATCTGTTCCTAGGACTGTTACTTGGTAAGATTCGTGCCAAAACAATGCTAGGCCACCGCTTAAACCATTACTATCCACACCCACAAAGCCGTAAAGGCCGAGACGCCCTCTAATTCTTCTCATCTTACTAGCTTTTTGTCGAGTTTCACACAAAAACACAAACATGGGGGAATGCGACTGCACCAACGTCGCCACATCACGAACTATCCGGGGATTCCCCCCACCCCGGCAGTTCCAACTTAACAGATTCATTGGGAGGGGCGGTCCTCCATCGAGGAGGCCGCCGATGATTTAGTTGAGGTACTATCAATGGCCGCACCGTCATCTGCCTTATACTTCTTCCGGTTTGCATTCTTTTGAGGGTTCCACCATTAGAGCTAGGTGGATGAGGCCCCTCGAACGTACCCACTCTGTCAGCTATGATCCCCAGCGGGACAAGGCCTCCCACAGTACTATTCCCCAGTTCTTCACTGGTAATGATGTTTGAAGTGCCCCAGTCATCTGCCCCCCTTTTACCCAAAATGAGAGGATCATTTATCTGTCCAGGTTGCATCACACCATCAGCATTAGCCAGCTGAACCCCGGGGTCATACAAGGCGTTTGTAGCATTGAAGCGCCAGCTCTGCTGAATGACATGATCCCGTCCAGTGGGATCTACAGTTGTAGCGAAGTTCCTGTGCTCAGTACCGCGACCTCGGCCATGGGATCTGTTTGCACCTCGTCCCCTGCCATAGTCGTTCATGTCACCCTCATCATCAAAGACACCTGCATCCCGTCCCGAGCTGCGACCATAGCCTCTGCCCGGGTTCCAGTTAGCATTAGCGCCCCTTCTATCAGCAAGTATAAACGGACGCCACTCCATATTTTTATCATCATGTTCACCGGATCCACATTCCTCATGCCAGTGTCCTAGCAGGCCACACATGTAACAGAAAACAGGAAGTTTCTCAAACTTGACTTGGTAATATTCAGTTTCTCCTCCCTTTGTGAATCCAACAAACCTTGTCAGTTTTTTGGTGACGTCAAGTTTAACTCTAACCCGTACGAACTCACCAATAAATCCATTCGGCAGAACAATATGTATCTCAACCACTTCACCTATGCGCTGCGCCATGTTCTTCATGAACTGCTCCCTCTTAAGCACCATATCCGGGAGACGATGGATCTGACACCACGTCTCAATTTTATCCAGCTTTACAGATTCCAGTTTGTTGAACCCATCATACTCATCAATGATCAGTGCCATGCCCTTGAAATCCCAAGGACCCTGATGGAGCGCCTTATTCCAGTCTGCTAGACAATTGAACTGCATCTAGAACAGGTTTGGGTTAATCCTCCTCCAAACCACCTCCTTGGCAGGGTTCCAAGCCGCTTTCATGTCGGCGATTAGCGCCCCCTGTCCAAAGGACTTGTTCGTCAAAACCCTAGCCAGTGCAAGCCACTTTGGCTTCTCATCTGGCTCCTCTGCTTCTTCTTCCCACACCAAATTATCCAATTCATCCTGCTCCAGATGCAAGCGCTCCAGCAAAACGCTAGGGTCTTCCGGGGTTTTGGATCGCGATCCGCTTGCCTCCGAGGGTGCGGCCATCTTCCTGGTTGGGGAAACCCTAGCCGTCAGGGTCACACAAAGACGGACCCAGCAGCCGGGGCTATGGACAGCAGCTGCGGTCGCCGCAGGGCGATCGATCACAGGGGAACTCTCGGCGGCGCCGCCGGAGGACAGGGAAACCCTAGCTTAAGTCGCTAGGGGATGGGTATAAGTCCACTTGTTTGAGTCTCAAGCGAACGTCTGGGCCCTTTCGTCGAAATGCAAACCCGAATCACTGGAGTTAGCTGATTTCGGTAGGCGCCGATCGATCGAAACATTCCTGAAACTGAAATTTAACACCAACCTCACTAGTCCTCAGGCACAGGATAGTGCGGCAACCGCAGCGCGCGTGCAAACCTCGACTACGGGGCTAGGATCGTCCTCTGCAGTAGCCCACCATGCAGCACGGTCACTGCCTTGTGGACCCGGCCCCACATGTCATCCGCACTACAACACCATACAATACTGCAGAGGATCTCAACCCCAAGTACGTCATGGTATACACCGTAGAAAGAAATTGTTGTCTTGGGTACCTCCGCGTATGGCCTCTAAATTTTAGCTTGATCCGGGAATCTTAATTACCATAGTTGTTATAGTTTGATCATGAGCATGAAACCAAACCAGCATCTTATCCTGCTGCTAATGGCCAAGGAGCACACACACACACACACACACGTGATCCATGACAACACAATAAACTAGGCGATTTAGGTAGCAGTTAGGAGTCTGCAGCATCTTAATTATGAATGATAATAATAGTAGCACAAGCACAACAAGGCAAGCCAATCCAAAGCTTAGCTAAGCCAAGCCAGGGGTCCCTCCCTCCTCCTCCCCCCCCTCCCTACCTCTCTCTGGTCCCGACGACCCCTTCTCCCTTCTCGAACTCCAGCTGGCCACCCAGCTACCACCAAGCTACTGTCGCTCGCTCACCAATCCTCCCGTCTTGCCCGACTACACGCCAGCGCCATGGATGGTTAGCTAGCTAGCTCTTGCGCTCTTGTGCAATCCCTTCCTCTGGGACTTGTCGTCATGGAGAGGCAGCGGGTGGTGGTGGTGGTGGAGGACGCCCCGGCGTCGCGCGCGGCGCTGCAGTGGGCCGTGCGCAACTTCATCCGGGCCGGCGACTCCATCGCGCTGCTGCACGTGTGCGCGCCGGCCCGCTCCAGGCGCCGCCGCCGGTGCCTCCGCCTCCAAGGCTTCCAGCTCGCGCTCGCCTTCAGGGACCTCTGCGACGGCGGCGTCGCGGAGGCCATGGTGGAGATCGTGGTGCGGGAGGGGGAACTCGCGCCGACGGTGGCCGCGGCCGTGGCGCAGCTCCGGGCCTCCACGCTCGTCGTCGGCCTCCACGACAAGAGCTTCCTCTACGGGTACGTAAGCAGATAGATAAGATTCAGCTCGTCTGAACTCGCCGCGAGGTGTCATGCTCTGAATTTGCTTCGGTCAGGTCGCCGAGCCCGTACGAGGGCGCGGGCGGGCTGGGGTGCCGGGTGCTGGCCGTCCGGCAGCACGCGACGGCGCGGCGCGGGGCCGTGGAGGCGGAGCTCACCCAGGTGGAGACCATACGGCTGCAGTAAGCGCACATCACAACCAATCACTACCGTATTTTCTGACACCGAATCCACTTCTTGCTCTGACTGTACCGATCGAAACCCGCAGCGTGCCGCCGCCCAAGATCCCGTTCCCGATCTTCGCGCTGCCGCTGGGGGTGATCTGGCGGCGATCGTCGTCGTCGTCGTCAAAGAAGAGGAGGTGAATGAACGCACGCCGACATCTCCGGACGGACTTGTGTCTCAACCTGCAAGTTCATCCATCCAACCTCCTCTGCTTGCTAGCCCTGTACAGACAGACATCATTTTTTTTTCTTTTTGCCATAAATCTTTCTTCTTCTTCTTTCATAGCTCATCAAATCGAGAGATAGACACAGCACATCAATAGAACATGCATCGCCGAGTAGTATTTATTTCCTCGTGAAAGAACATGCCGTTGCTTCCTCTGGAGTTCGTCCATCCACAACAAAAAAAAAGAGAGAAAAGAAAAGAAACGACGCTCATGTCATGTGTGCACGTACAAGTACAATCCAATCTATGAACCGGCAGAAATTCCATGGAGAGGCGCTCCCCGTTTCACCAGCTGCGCAACACAAAGAGGAAAAAAAATGCAGGGATTCGTCATGGTACCGTCTCTGTTTCGACAGCCGAAATGTGTGCCTTGTTTGATGGGCAGACAGAATCGACATGTTCTTCCTTCTGTCAACACCGACTGTAGATGTACTTTCAAGTTGTACCATGCGCAAGCGGGAGTTATGTGTACCGGGCTCTCCTTTTTTTTTTGGAATCTTCAGTGGAGCATATAGCTTGGCATATCAAAAATTATAGAGTACTAATTAGCACATATTCTTCCCTCTTTATCTTTTCTCTCTTCTCTCTTATGTTTTCTTTCTCTCTCATCTCTCTTTTCTCTCTTCTATCTTACCCCCTTTGTAAAAAAAACATTAGGTCAAATTTGGACCTAAAAACTTCAGAATGATGATTATCTGAAATAGCTCATCCAAATGATTTTTTTGGCAAAAATAGAATCCATGGTTTTCTGTAAAAAATCTGACAAATCTCCATTCCAAATTACTCGTCGCAGAAATGGATGTATCTAGAACTAAAATACATCTAGATACATCCATACCTGCGACAAGTAATTCGAAACAGAGGGAGTACATGTTACAAGAAGGGGCCATGCAAAAACCTCCTATTTTGGTAACCTGTGGGGGATGTTGAGCCATTGGCTAGGCGCCGGGGAAAAAATAAATAGAACTTCCAAATATCGAAATGCGATGAATTTTCTTGTACAACTTGTTTGGAGATGGTGTTGAGCAAAAAAGAAGGACATGGTCGAAAGTGCTCTGTGAATTTCGCAGCAACCCGCCGCCCAAGATCCCGTTCCCGATCTTGGCGCCGCCGCTGGGCGTGATCCGGAGGGGATCGCCGTCAAATAAGAGGAAATGAATGGATGCCAACATATCTGGACTTGCATCCGGACTTTCAAGTTCATCTGTCCACCAACTCCTCTGCTTGCAAAGCCTTGTACATACAGACACTACACCTTTCTACTTTCTTCCATAGTTTATCAGAATGGAATCGACTGTCAGAGACAGCACATGCATCAAACAAACATTGGTGGGCATGATTTCTATGTGCTGAAATACTAGGTATTTATTCCTTTCTTTCTGAAAGAATATGCAGAGCTCTTGTTGATCCGGCTCAATATGCAGAGCTCTTGTTGATCCGGCTCATCTGAAAGAATGCGCAAGAAATTCCATGGAAACGTTGCTTACGTTTACCAGCCGCGCAAGGAAAATAACACATGGCAATTCGGAAAATTCGAATCTGACAGGATCAGAATGTTTTTTTCTTGCTGGCAACGCCGAGGAACCGACACGCGTGAACACGATCCATTTTTTCCTCAATATTTTTACGAACCTCATATTTGCAGGTTTGAGGTTTCTTGGTCATCAAAATCAACTGTGCTCACCGCGGACCACATTGTTGTCGACCTTTGGGTTCATGACCTCTCAAGTTGGCTCTCAAATAGAAATGAAGCAAAATTTTGTACATGTCACCAAAGGGGATAATGCAAAAACCTCCTACTGTGGTGATCTGCGGTGGATGTTGATCGAGCCCCGGTACTGGCAGCAAGAGATCAAGGCATCTCCAGAAGAAATCCTCGGTCGGGTCTTGGTCGGTCGGAATGACGACGTCGTCACTCTTGGGTGTTGGGGACTTTCTAGAAAGTGTTGCCATGGAGGCGTCCTTCCCCCCGCCCTTGACTCCGGAGGGATACCTCAAACACCGATGCCTGTTTGGCAACTATGATGGCATCAAGATGTGTTTGGGCCGCAGCTTGGGCTTGGGCAATCGGCTTTTTTCATGCATGCAATGTGTCCTTCCATTGTTGGTTTTTTTTTTGTTGGTTCTCTTGGTTGTTGTGGAGTGGAAACTGCGATGACACGAGTCCAATCGGCGACATCGACGCGTGCTCGATGGTCGTTTGCGGAGCACTCAGTTTGCGCGAGCCCTGTATTTTCTCTTACGAGCCTTGTCGTCGAAATCGGAGATGTTATTGGAGCGTACGTGTTGGTAGCCAGGTCAGCCGGCGGCGATTTTTTTTTGCCGTCATATTCCGTGACGATGATGTGGCAGGGTTTGTGACAGTTTAGGATCAAAGAAATTAATTGACAAAAAAGGTATGTTTTTTGTCTTGTTATAAGAATAGAAACAAGATTAGTGCCTGCCAGCTCACAGGCTCTGGCTGCTTAGGAGCTGGCGTTCGTGCCGCCCCCTTCCAAACAAAACCTCAACCACCAAGCCTGAGTCCGAGCCCAAACCCTGGCTATAAGCCACCCTCGCTCCCCTCCCGTCCCCATCGGCACCGCGCCGCCCTCCTCGGTTCCGCCTCCCAGCCCCAGCCCCAACCCCGGCCCCGCCTCCCCTTCCCGTCCTCGGTGGCTCGGCTCCCTGCTGCTGGCTTGCCACAGTGCAAGGCAGAGCAAAGGAGAGGAGAGGAAATTGAATAGGAGAATTGACTCCAATTTTGCCACCCATCAACTCACCAGGATGGCTGATATACCCCTCTTGCCAGTCACTAGGGACGGCGCGGAGGTCGAAGGAGGAGCCGCGAGGCCCAAGAAGAAGGAGACCATGACATCACTCTACCTCACCTTCTTCGAGACCGGCGCCGACGGCAAGAACCGTGTCTGCAGGCTCTGCGACAAGACATATTGCCTCACCACCGCCACCAGTAAGCAGAGCACACACCCAACCCCCATTCTTTTTTTACTTAAGGTTACACATCAAGAACACCGTGTCTAGTCTACGCATTAATTCATTGGAGTGGTGATACATGCATGCTATTGAATTCAGCATTCGTTTATTTAGCTTGTAATAAACAACATGGGGTTGCAAAATGAACGAACTCGATCCAAAATTTACAACTTCGTGATGAAAACCTTCCTTGATTATGGGTTTCTCAGAATCCGCCCCTCAAGTTGGTTTTCAGAGAAGAAAGAAGCAAAATTTTGTACATGCCACGAGAAGGGACCGAGCAAAAGCAACTTGGTGTTTGGAGCTTTCTCAAAAGCATCACATGGAATTGTCTTTCCTCCTCTGGCTCCTGAGGGATATCTCAGACGCCGCCGAGGCCTATTTGGCAGCTAGGATGACTCTGAGACGAGTTTGGGCCGCAACTTGGGCTTCGGCAATCGACTTTTCGGGCATACAATGTGTCCTTCCATTAGTTGTTGGCTGTCTTTACTCAATGACCGTTTGCGGAGGGCTCAGTCAGCGTGAGCCCCCCCCCCCCCTGCGAACCTTGACGTCGAGGTCGAAGTTGTAGTCCACGTGTATTGGTAGCCAAGTTGGTCGGTGCCATGTGGCGAGTTGTGTTGCTGTCATATTCTGTGAGGGTAATGTGTTATAACAATTTAAGCTCCTCCATTCCTTTTAATGGATTGACGAAAATGACATGGATTTTTTGTGTATTGTTAAAAATAGAAACAATATTGGCGACGGTCAGCTCGCACGCCCTCAACTGCTTAGGGAGCCGGCTAGCATTCGAGCCTCTCCTTGATTCCGACCCAGAACTCAACCACCAAACTCTAGCCCGAGCCCAAGCCCAAGCCTGAACCCGACCAAACCATGAGAAGAAAGAAGCAAAAATTTGTACATGCCACGAGAAGGGACCGAGCAAAAGCAACTTGATGCTTTGGAGCTTCCTCAAAAGCATCACATGGAATCGTCTCCCCCCCTCTGGCTCGGGAGGGATATCTCAGACGCCGCCGAGGCCTATTTGGCAGCTACGATGACTCTGAGACGAGTTTGGGCCGCAGCTTGGGCTTCCGCAATCGGCTTTTCAGGCATACAATGTCTCCTTCCGTTAGTTGTTGGCTTCCTTTGTCGTTGTCGTGGAGTTGAAGCTACGACGAAGCGAGTCCAGGCAGTGCTCGATGGCCGTTTGCGGAGCGCTCGGTCGGCGTGAGCCCACCGTCTCCCCCCTTGCGAACCTTGCCGGCGAGGTCGAAGTTGTAGTCGACGTGTGTCGGTAGCCAGGTTGGCCGGTGCCGGTGCCGGTGGCGAGTTGTGTTGCTGTCATATTCCGCGATGGTGGTGTGTTAGGGTTTATAGCAGTTTAAGCTCCTCCATTCCTTTTAATTGACTGACGAAAAATGGCACCATGGATTTTTGTAAATAAAAATAGAAACAAGATTGGCGACGGTCAGCTCGCACGCGCGCGCCAGCTGCTTAGGGGAGCCGGCTGGCGTTCGAGCCGCCCCCTGATTCCGACCCAGACCCCGACCACGGAGCCCGAGCCCGAGCCCGGACCCGACCAAACCCTAGCTGCCCAGATCGGCGCCGCGCCGCGCCGTCCTCCTCGGCTCCGCCTTCCCCTCCCGTCGTCGGCGGCTCGGCTCCCCGCCCCGCCCGCCGCCGCCGGCTCCAATCTTGCCGCGCCCCGTCGACCCACCGGGATGGCTGACATGACCCTCCTGCCGGCCGCCGGCGACGGCGCGGAGGCCGCCAGGCCCAGGAAGAAGAAGACCATGAAGTCGCTCTACCTCGCCTTCTTCGACACCGCCGCCGACGGCCGCTCCCGCGCCTGCCGCCTCTGCGGCAAGACCTACTGCCTCACCACCGCCACCGGTAAGCAAGCAGAGCGCACACCCGCCGATGACCCCAAAACCATTTTTTTTTACTGAACAAATTTTCAGAACGCATCAAGAACGCCGTCAGTCTGCGCATTAACTACTGTACTTTAGAACACATTTCCTCCGTTCACAAATATTACTCCCTTCCCAAATTACTCGTCTTAGACTTGTCAATGTATCTGACACTAAAACATTATACAAATCTAAGGCAAGTAATTAAGGGCGGAGGGAGTGGAGTACAAACTTTTTTCTGAATCGGATGTATATAGACATGTTTTAGTGTGTTTGTTCACTCGGTTTCAGTGCGTATGTAGTCCATATTGGCACGTTTTAGGGTGTTTGTTCACTAATTTCAGTGCGTATGTAGTCCATATTGAGATATCCAAAGCATCTTATATTTGTGACCGAGGGAGGAAATACTAACTCGCCTCACATCCGTTTCACAACGGTTCCAATTGTGATGCAGGCAATCTGGGGAAGCATCTGAACAACCGGCACCCCGGCTACGACCAGCTCGCCGACCACCACCTCCATCTGCAGGGCGAAAACTCTGCCCAGAGCGCCGTCTCCGGCATGTTTGCCAGGAACAAGAAGCCGCACGCCCCGGCGCGAGCTCACCCGCAACCTCAGCCTCAGCCGCAGGCACAGGTTCAAGTTCAGTCTGTTCAGGCTCAGGCCAAAGCGCGGGCCGTCCGCGCTCAGCCTAGCGCGAAGCCGGCGGTGGACGTCGACTACGTCAACTGGTTGCTCCTTCGGTGGCTCATCGGCTCCTCCTTCCCGCCCTCCACCCTCGAGGACAGCTCGTTTGTCGACAGCTGCAGGTATCTGAACCCGGCCGTCAGGCTCTGGCCGAAGGAGAAGGCTCAGGAGATCACCCTCCAGGTGTTCAGGAGCATGAAGGAGGACGTCAAGGCGTCCCTGCAGCGCGTCAGGTCCCGGCTGTCCATCTCCCTTGAGTTCTGGACTTCCTACGAGCAGATAGTGTACCTGTCTGTCAAGTGCCACTGGATCGACGAGAGCTGGGTCTCGCAGAAACTCCTGCTTGACGTGTGCCGGGTTCGGTGCCACTCCACCGGTGCTGACATTCTGCGAGTTCTGCTGGCTGTCTTGCAGGATTTTAACATTGACTTGAAAATCCTTGCTTGCACGCATAATAACAGCCAGCATGCTATCCATGCCTGTGAAGAGCTCAGGCGGGAGCTCGAGTCCCGGAAGCTCCCCTTCTGCTACATCCCCTGTGCCGCAAAGGCACTAGAGGTTATCATCGAAGATGGCCTGCAAAATGTGAAGCCTGTGCTGTCCAAGGCCCGCGAGTTTATCCTCGAGACCAATTCGAACCAGGAGATGATGGTGGATTTTAAGCACTGGACTGAAGTTTACCAAGAAGGCCCGTGTAAATTCCCTCTTGATCATTCGGCAAATTGGAACGGCAACTACAATGTGCTCGACATAGTAAAGAAGGTACTGCACAGTCCATGCCTGCATCTTATTTTCCATCACGGCTGTTGGTTTTTTTGTTCACGTTTTTTAATGTTTTTTCTTCAGGCCCCTAATGCGATGGATAACACGATCAAGAAGTTTCAAGACGTTTTTGGGTCGAGGGACTGGGTTCTGAGTGACGAGGAGAAGTCAGTGGTGAATTCATTGCACTCGTACCTTGAGCCGTTCTACAAAACTACGACCAACCTTTGTACCTGCAAATTACCAACTGTTGGGCTGGTCTTCTTCTTCATGGACCATGTCTTTGAGTTGATCAATGTCTGCCATGACAGCAGCCACCAGAAATTGTTCGAGAAAATCGCCAGAGACATGTCCAAGACAGCTCGTGAATTCACATCTCAAGCTTACAACATCTACACCTTCACGGCTGCCATTCTTGATCCGAGGATCAAAGGAGAGCTCATCCCTGACGCCCTCAACTCCGCCAGCAACTTGGAGGACGCAAGGGACCATTTTGTCAGAGACTACAGCAGCATCTTCCAAGCTGCCGGAAATGGCTACAGCACCCAGCAAGACAACACTGAGGGTGATGGCGCCTTCTCCTTTGCTGAAGAGATTATTCGCAAACGCCGTCGTGTCAGTATGAGCACTGCCGCTGATGAGCTCACTCAGTATCTCGCGGAGCCCCCCGCACCGATTTCCACTGATGCTCTGGAATGGTGGAGGGGGCACTCCTCCCGTTACCCACGGCTCTCGTTGATGGCCCGTGACTTTTTGGCAATCCAAGGGACCTCCTTGGATCCTGAAGAACTGTTCACAAGCAAAGGGGACAGTATCCACAAGCAGCAGTACTGCCTTCCTCTTAGTAGCATGCAGGCTACAATGTGTATAAAATCGTGGATGCAAAGTGGGTATCAGTTCAATTTTCAGTCGACCATCATTGATTTCGAGAGATTAATCGAGTCTGCTACTGCTCCTGATGCTGTAAATGGTCCAGAGTCTTCTTGAGGAATAAATGGTCAGAAATTCAGGATCCTATCTGTTTCATGTACCATAGGTTCTCATCATGTAAATAGTTCATCTAAGCTGCAGAATGCCGGTTTGTTTGTAGTCTCTGCACAAAATCTCAATAGTCAGAATTAAGGTGAGCAGCCTGTGTTTTCAGAATCATAGACATGTAAGGATCTTGAAGGTTATCGTAATCAGGAGCAACAATGCAAAAATTCAGGTTTGTTTCCTGTGAAGATGGCTTAAATGCTTAATACCATAAGGAAGAAAATGTGATCAGAGGGGTCCTTTTACTGCCCTTTACTCTATAATGGTGTAATTCTCTAGGCAGTTTTTTTTGTTATCGCAATATTATTACTTTGCCAGTACTACAGAGGGTGGCAAAAGTGCTAGAGTTCAGTCCAAAATTACATCAATGGTATTCATTGGTTTCTACTCCAGTGGGCTGCCAAGGAAGATGGGCATCTGATTCTGAAGAAAACAAGAGAAGAAAAGAAACAGATGGGCAAGTCATGTGCATTAAATTCATGTGATTTTACTGATTATTTTTGTTGTTGCAGAGGAGAGAAAGCAACTTGAAGTTTGCGAGGAAGGTAATGCCGTAATGCTCCTCACGTCTCCTCGGCATCGGTTCAATCAAATTTTTTATGACATGGGGTGCCATGAATTCTCGGTATCGATGGTTTTAAAATTCTAAGATTCATGCTCGAAAGTCACATGGGAATGGGCTGGGAAATGAGAATAATGCATAAAGTAGTAGATGGTGTGCAAGAATCTTTAGATTTTATTCTGCTGGAATGTGACCTCACCCACACATGGGACAGACTGCCATGCCCACAGAAACACACACATGACACCTATGTTTTAGAACCTCCAAAGCACAAAACTGCCAGTAAATATTTTTGCGAGTGAAAATGCGTGGGAAACTGCTGGTAAAATATTTTTTGTGAGGGAAAATGTGTGGTATAAACTGCTGGTAAAATATTTCTTGTAGTGTCCAGAATTGTCGAGATATGATGCATGAAACATCAACCGATTCATATTTTCCTAGGGGAAATGAAACATCTTATGGAGCTAAAATCATGCATGGGACAGTGTTGACTTTGATCCATGGCAGCCATGCTTGGATCTTCACTCTGATTTGTTTGGCTTGTACTACATTATACTGCATATTGCAACACCCATTGTCAACAACTAGAGTAATGGAGCTGTCACATGGCCGAAACCGCGATCCGACCTTGGTTCTGCACGATTGGAACCTAGATAGAAATCTCTGGATCTTAGGACCACATGACATGATCACTGTTTTTATTTTCTGCATTCAAGGCACCGACCAGTTGCATGACGCAGCATCTCCCTGCATCATTTTCCTGCCTTCCTGGCCATCATTATACCGCACTGATTAGGGATTAGCGGCATTTCAACGACGTTGTTTATCATAATCGGATCGGTTATCTCGTGATGGGCGATGTTTATGACAGTTGGTTCCACATGTCAAGCATCTGATGATGCGTTATCGTGCACTTATTAGCACTAATAGGTGCGATCGTCAGCTACAATCTCTTTTCTTTTATTCAGAAGAAGCATTTTAGAGCACCTAATGCGCCCTTGTTTTTTCCCATCTAGCTCTCAAGTTTCTTCATCCAGCACTCTAATTATCTCAGAACCATGTGGTATACAGGGTGAATATCATCATTTCTTTTACAGCAAATGATCATAATTTTCCTCAGATTCTTACACGAACTTTAGAAAGTGACAATTAACCGCGAGTTTCAGTTTACCATTTTCAACCGCGAGTTTCAGTAGTTTAGAAAGTGACAATTAACCGCGAGTTTCAGTTTACCATTCTCAACCGCGAGTTGTTTTTCTTGCTCTTTTTACCCTCTAGTCGTGAATTATTCCACATTTTGTACTATTTTACCAGCCTTCCCCATCCTGACATCTCGAGACCGCTTATCAACACTGGAAATTACTAGTTATTAGTACTTTCTAAAAATCACATATTGCTCATTTAACACCACCTTGAGGGGCACTTGTTCCAAAAGACTATATAATTATAATCCTAAGTATGCATTTTTTTTTCATATTTAACTTCGTATTGGTAACTAAACTAAGTTGAAGACAGTGAAATTGCGAATTCGGGTTTCAAGGACATTTAAGGAATAAAAAAAGCAACACTATAATTTGACGTACGATTCTTAATGTTCTTTTAGAGCAGGTATCACTCAGTAGAATCAAGAGAATTCTAGCTAATTATGATTGTCATACTTTGTTGATGTCGCCTCTAGGACAACTTCCACACGAGGTTGTTGGGATGGGGGCAAAAATGCGGAAATAATGCATGACGACTATGGGTAAAACTAGAAACACAATTTTTAACCGGGTAACTTTCAACACTTCCACACAAATAAAGGGGTAAAAGGTTAAGTTTAACTCTTACCGTAAACTCTTACGCGGATTCTACAAAGTGACCGTAGACCACGAGAAATTACAGCTCGTCGCAAACGATGGTGCAATTAGATCATTTTTTTTCTACTGTACTCAGTAACAATGTGTTTTTGTTGATGAGAAATTCGTGTCCCCACTGTACTGAGACATGATGGCATCATCATCAGCAGCATCCTAAGGAGTTGTCTCGAGCCTCCTCTAATCGCGCACTAACTGCAATTAATTCCAGTTGCATTACAAAACTGTTTGACCCTGGAGAGAAGAAAACACAAGTAGCCGCACGATCTCCGATGTTTGCGAAAATGTTGGTAGCAGAAAATCTCTGTACAAATTCTGTGGCGATTTACTTTGTTAATAACTAAGATCCCTTTTTGTTTGCGAAAAAAGTTAACTAAGATCCCTGACAAATGCTCATTTGTCAACCTCAGATCTAGACCCGGTGAGATAATAAGGTTTGCGCGATTCATGGATGGATGGATGCTACTCAGGCCCGCCGCCCAGTTGACGCGGAATTGATTTTAACTGCTTTCATCTCAAACTCCAGTTGACGCGGAATTGATTTTAACTGCTTTCATCTCAAACTTGTAAAAACTTTGTATCCCTTTGATCTTTGGTTCAAATTAATGAAACAACTACTTTCATCTCAGCAAGGCTCCCTGTTGCCATTTCAGGACTTAGGGTTCCTTTGATTGAAAGGAGGAGCTCTGGATCCAAACCCCTGAGGTTTAGTTTGGATCCTTGGAATTTCAAAGGAATTTTTTTTAGAGAATGCAAATGAATCCTTAGGGACATTTTCTTTCCTGAGGATTGGTTTGCACTCAAGCCTCTTTGTACAATTCATTTGTTTTCCATGTGGTGTCAAATACCCTTTGATCTAAATCCCCATAGCTCAGTTTTCTAATTCGAAGAACTCAAGATAACATTTCACTGAATCCGACCGTGCGTTGTTCTTGTATAAATCAAGGGGAGGATCTTATGTTCCCTGCAAAAGAAGAAGATGGTTTTATGTTTCAATAGAAACAACAACTTTATTTTCATTGCACGCGATGGCGGGACCCTGTCTAGGTTTCACTAAGCTGTGTAACATCATGTTCATCTAGGTTTTATTGGACTAGTTACAGTGCTCAGAACTTCAAATCCCGATCACATAAAAAACAAGGAGAATTGATCTAAAAGGAGTGAAGCAAAAACATGATCTGCCATGTATTTTTCCAGAGCTTGTGCTCTCTTTTCTTTTCTGATCTTACACGTGCCGCCGCGATCATCTAAAACTTGGATAAAAATTCAACATGGATGCATGCATCCATGGCCTAGGGTTGCTGCTGGGAAGACAGGATGGCGTCCAGCGCGGTCTTCACTTGGGACAGCACCGGCGCCTTCCCTCCTTGCACCGGCCAGAACTCGTCGGTCGCCAACACCTGCGCACACACACCGAATATGCGCGAACCGGGTTATAATTCATAGATCCGACATGAGACTGTATGTAGTTCATAGATGTGAATTGGGTCGAAAGAGTAGTCGACGCATCGATGACCGATCGTCGCGTACCTTGACTTGCAGCTGCAGGAACTTGACATAGGTGATTGCCTTCTCGAGCATGGTGACCATGTCCACCTACAGGAGTTGGTTCCATTCAGAAAATTAGCAACTAATGACCAGGTCATTTTTTCACACAAAAACCGTGCTGAAGCATGAGAAGAAGTCATGGTACACACCTTCGTGCCGTTGGGTACAAGATCCTGCAGAACTTTGAGCCTCTCACTGATGCGCTCTCTTCGGACCTAAAGATCCATGATCGATCGGGTAACATGGATTAGTTCGGCTTCGTCGAAACAACTTTCTTGCAGTGCAAAGAATCTTGCACCACAGCAATAGGGAGAAATTGACTCATGCTGATTCTACCTTTGCAACAGCGCTCTGAGGATCCTTGGTAGGGACAACTTTGGCCTTGCTCTTCCTGCCTCCTCCACACTGCTTCTTCGCCGCTGCTTGCGCCTCACCACCCTTATTAAACAGAAGGAAACTTATCAGTTTTTTTTCCCACTCAAATTGACTAGATGCAAAGTTTCAGAAATGTGTCGTGATGCAAGGGAGGAGAAATTTGATGTAGGTACTTACCGAGCTCGAGCGCTTCTGCGCAGACTTGGCCGGCTGCTTGATGCTGCTCTCCTGGATTTCTGGGACGACATCGGCCGACCCTGGGTTCATGAACCCAAACCTGGCCGCGCCGTGCTGATGATCGGCCATGCTGTCCATCCAGAGCGCGCAGTCATCGTCGCCTGTGCCGGAATTATAAGCCAGCTGATGACCGGCACCGCCGGCATGCTCAAAGCTGAGCACCGACGAGGTGGAGCTGGAGGAGGCGCCCGGCGTCCCGCCGGAGGCGTTGTACGCCCAGCTGTAGTAGTCCGCCGCCGACCCGCACCCACCTTTGAAGTTGTCGACGAAGGAGAGCTGGGGCAGGGCGGTGGCAGTGTCGTCGTCTTCATCGTCACCGTCGACGACCACGCCATGGTAGCCGAAGAGCTCGAGGGACATGGAGGAGGGCTCGTCGTCGTACATCGCCCGGAGCTCCCGCGTGGTGGCCCGCTTGCTCGCCATTGGCTAGGCTAGGCAGCTAGCTGCTCTGTGTCACTGTTCCCCACCTAGGTGAGACCGAGCTACTGGTGACGGTGTTCCGGGAAGCTACTACTGGCTAGGGTTCAGGGCAGCTCTTGGCAGGTAGCTAGCTAGGCTCTGTGAATGCATGAGACGTGCAAGCATGCGGCTACTTATATAGAGTGAGGGGTTTCTTAATCGAGTAGGCGCTAGTGTGCAGAGCTTAATGAGCCAGCAAGGTCTTGAGCTGTCAGTGGAATATGGGGTCAAGTGCTAAGAGGGAGACAGACAGCAGTGGACCCATGACTAATTCCCTTGTTATGCTCAGCTAAGTAAGGTAATTAAGTAGTAGTAGTAGTAGTAGAAGTGGAACTAATCCCCTCCACCCATGTTCCAGTGCCACATAATCTACACTCCTCCACATCCGGGCTCTCTCTTCATGTGGCATTCAAGGCCAAGTTGATGCTGTTTACATTAGTTAAACAAGGGGGAGGGGAGCTAGGTGGTGATGACGTTGTGACAAGCTTGTATTCAATTCAGTTCAGGCTTAGCATGCATGCATGAAACAAGCTTGCTGGGGAACTGCAATGCAAATAATTAGCTGGGATGTCATGCTCCCATAAATGCAGCCTCCCTCTCAACCTCCATTGCCATGTGTAAGGTAGCTAGCCCATGTGTAAGGTAGCCAAGCAAAAATATGTGTAGGTTCTTATATTGGGTAACTTCAATTATTTCCCTGGTATATTGATCAGCCGTACGCCGTACAAGAGTACATATTTCTTCTAAATATTTATTAGGTTACAAAATATTGGTCAGGTTTAGGCACCTGCTAGCACAGTTATGTCAAAAACAAGAAACTATCTCCTACTACTTCCAATTAATGGAAGCAGATTCTAGTTTCTTGTGTTCACTGTAATATATTTGACATGAACTTTACCTTCATTAGCGACTAATGCAGATCACCAACAGTTGCACGCAGCAATTCGCCGCAGACTTAACGAAACCAGGTACCAATGTAGAATTGTATACATATATGCTCTCCAGACCAAGTCATCGTAAACGTGGCTCAAAAGTACTGGACCAAATGCAGTAAACTGAGAGGAAGCATCCATGCGTATCCTACTCACATGGGAAATCGTTTGTTATTCACACGTACCTTAAAAGAATATCTTGTGCCGGGGCGATGCGCAGGATAAACACCCCGTGGACATCCCACGCGGATCAGGATCCGCCTCCGGCTTCGACGTGCGCTCACGATCGACCCGGTAAATTCCCTGTACATGGCCTGATTAATGAACACAGTGTGGCCTTTCAAAGCTTCACATGGCCTAGCTAGCAGAGCTCAGCACTGCAAGTGTCACACTTATTGCAGGAGCATAAACAAAGCCCTCCTTCCCCGAGTATAAACTGATAAACCCTGGACGTGCGACGCAGTCGCGGAGCACCCACGTCGTCTTTCCCTACCGACCCAACCCGACGGAGCCCCTCCCCGTGCATCTCGCTGTAGGAATACATATTGGAAACGACGTACGGGGTACTATAATAAGGCATCTCCGTGACTAGTTGACTACACAAGGACGTCTACAATTATACATATATACATGCTAGGGTTCGAGTAAACAACTGGTGCTGCATGCCTGTACTATTCCTTGTTGATCAGGCAGATGCATGGGGGGATATGGACGGCTGATGCTTCGAGCAGCCTGCAGATGGATTTTCTAGTGTGGCTTTCTTATCTGAACTATCTAATGCTTTCTTTCTTATCTGAATTCACTAATGGTTTTCTTTCTTATCTGAATTCTCTAATGGCTGTACAGCTACAGGTTATGATACCAAGGCTAGCTAGCTAGCTGCCCCTTTGCCGACCACGGCACGCGTACCCACCCACCATCTTGTCCCTAAGCAGCTTAGTCAATACTCGGTACTTACTGATGAGTAACGCCAGCATTCCAGTGATGTGCAGGCTATATATACTACTGACAGCAGGATATGCAATGCAACTGAGGTTATTTGTATAGACTAGAGTCTCTTACCTCGTGGAGCCATCAAAACGCGTCTCCAAGTATGTTGCTTCGCAGTTACTTTTATCTAGGTACCCCTCTGGTTCAGGTCCCAGCATGCACTGCAAAACATAACCTGTTCAAGACTTAGGATTCAGTAGTAATATGCTCGTGAATTAATAATCGCTAGGCAGTGTTAACTCTACCTTGTCACGCACCCCAGGTACTGCAGGATACAGCTCATCATATCCTACGGACGAGCTCTGGAATTCTTCAGTTATGGGGCAGGAAATTCAGTGCATTATGCAAGTCATTGATACGAATCAGGATTTCAGGCATTGCTGAGACATTGCACCCTCAGCTCCAAGATAGCATTTCTAGTAACGCTTCTTTCACCCTTCAGTTAAAATTGGCACACAAAAGTAAATTGCACCCTTGTTAAGCAATAACCACACCAAAACAACCGTCATAATTCACTTCAAGGAGAAAATTTATAAAACATGACATCATCAGAAATTTCGAAAACAAAGAACATGGTACCGGTAAGCTTCGTGTTGCCTACATGACATGCCTACTGACACTAGATTATGATGGGGCCTGTTTGGCCCAGTTAACCTTTGGCCTTGTATTAGTTAAATAAGCTTAACCAGTTAAGTTACGACTTCGAACCAAACAGCTTATTCAGGCTTAACATTAAACAGAACATCCCTGCCATAACAGTGTCAGAGCAAGTAATTTGCCCCAATTTAAGCTTTGGCCTATTATTTAAATATGCTTAACCAGTTAAGTTAGGACTTTGAACCGAACAGCTAACTTATTCGGGCTTAACGTTAAACAGAACAGCCCTGCCATAGTAGATTCAAAGCAAGCAAATGGGCCACAATTAGGCAGGACCTCATGACTTGTTAGTTTGGTTGCCCAAATAGCTTCAGGCTTATCTATAAGCTATAAGCCAGTTGAGCACCTTACAGGACAAGCTTAGTAGCTCACAGAAATTGAATAGCACAAGCAAGTATACAGCCAACTGAATTACTACTGTCTAGTAGAGTCACTTGTCTCAGGAGTTAAAGGAGTTTAACAGTAGAAAAAGGTAAAACATTGTCTTTGCTAGGGGCAGATCTTCCAAGAATGAGACACTTCCCTTGGAACAGACTGAAGTATTGAACACCTAGACAATTTCAAGTTGATGAGAACAAAGTTGGCCATCTACCCCATAATATTATGGGACGGAAGGAGTATTAGACTACATGTGCCAGGCCCTCGGGCTATAACCTGGGTATTATTCAATATATCCCTTTTGGCTGGGGTATCAAGCAAACTCACATAAATACTCTTTGGTCCCATACTCACTCACAGGAGTGCCATCAGCAACCGGATTTGTGGCAATGTTTGGGGAGAAAGAATGAATGACAAGTCGGCCCCAAACTGGGTGGCGTGTCCACCGCCTCATGTCGAATACCAGGGTTAAATTCAGTGAAACGACATTAAGAGTACAGGATCCTAAACCAGACCGTTGCAGAGTTCAAGGTTGAAATGTGAACTGGGGGAGAGTTCAAGGTTAAGACTGTTTGATTCAAACTGGGAGAGAGTTTGAGGTTGAAACCGTTGCCTCAATTTGAAGTGCCAAAATAAATAGGGTAGATACAAGCTGATGATACATATGAAACAGCAAAGAAATAAATATAGGGGGTGTATTCATGTTGAAGAGATAAGAGAACCACTGAAATTTCAGCCATGAGCCACAAACTTCCACTACAGACATGTTTCTGTAAATATCTTAAGATATAACTGACATAAAGCAACACGAGGTAATTCAATACTAGCAACCTAGCATTACAGAAGTCAAGAGAAAAGAGAACAGCCTAGTATCGCGAAGTTGCATCACAATCTGAAGAAAGCTTGTACTTCTAGTGTTCGACAGATGAAACATTACCAAGAGCCATCACTTCACTTGTTCACCTACTGGAGTCCTCAAGCACCTTGTTGTAGAGCAGGGCACGACTACGAATCCACACCTAATGATGCCATCTGTCTGTCGAGCTCATTGCCAGCCTTCTTCAGAAACACATCCCACCCACTGCCATCCCCCCAATCCAGCATATCATACGGAATTGCTGTCATTAACCCTGGCCTCACTGCACCCTGCTGCATCACCACTCGAAACTCCAGCTCGTCCTCCCCTCTCTGCTCCTCCTCAAGCTCCTCCCATGTGAACAGCAGCGGCAGGGTATAGCCACCCCAAGGATTGAAGTCGATCAGCTTCACCCGGTCATCGGCTCTCACATACACATCAAACGTATAATTCTCTGAAGCGAACTGTGGCTCGATGAATTCTTCGAAGAAATCCTCGATCTTAGGCTGCACCTCAGCGCTCCACCCAGGCAGCGAAGGGTAGTAGGCAGACGGGTCCCTCTGCGACACGCCGACCAGCTTCCGCCCCCGCACAAAGCAGCGGAACTCCGACTCGGGGCGGAGGCCTGGGTACCACTTGCGGAGCGCGAGGTAGTACTGGAACCCATCGTCGACCCAAGTCTCATCATCATCACTGCTTTCTTGTTCGGCATCCTCTTCCGGCGCACCACTCCCACCGCCACGGGCACCTCCATCGCTGCAATTCTCACCAGGATCACTCAGACCGCCCTCTGCGGCATTCCGTCGAACAGGCTTGGCGCGCAGGAAGTCGTGGCAGGAGCGGCGCGCGGAGATGAGGTCGTGGGCGACGCAGTCGGAGGCGCGGAGCAGCATGGCGACCTCGGCGAAGCAGGTGCAGCGGACGGTGCCGTCGGCGGCCATGAAGACGGCGTCCTTGGGCGCGCTCCAGTTGAGCTTGGGGAGCGCGGCGCCGCCGAGGCCGGCGATGGCGGCGTCCACCGCGGCCTCGAGCTCCGGGAACGCGGGCGGGGGCAGGCCCTCGTCATCGTCGGAGTCGGAGCCGGAGCCGCCGAAGAGGGGGTCGGTGTTGTCGCGATCGAGGAGGGAGACGGGGTCCGGGAAGTGGCCCTGGAGCGGCGGGAAGGGCGCGCGGCCGGAGGTGAGCGTCGGGAGCACGAAGGGGAGCGGCCCCTGCTCGCCCTCGTCGGGGCCGTCGGGGCCGGGGTAGGCGGTCCGGCCGGCGAGGTAGCGGAGGAAGGCGGCCGGGAGCGGGATGATGGCGGTGGGGACCGTGTGGCGCCGGAACGCCGGGTACCACTCCTGGATCTGGCAGCGGAGCAGCTCCTCCAGCAGCATCTCCGCCGGCTCGTCGGTTGGGTTCGGCGGCGGCGCTCGGCGTCGGTCCTCGTCGCCGGCGTCGTGCTCGCGGTTCGCGTGGTGGGAAGGCCGGGCTGCGAACGAGGGGGGGCCTCAGGAGGGTTGCGTTGGGCCTACTAGTACGCGCATTTGTTGGGCTTCTGTACTCGTTGGGCTTCGTGCCGCATTGTTTTGAAAAACGTTCATCAAAATTCAAACTTTCTTCATTGAATTACAAAAATGGCCTTCAAATTCCAAATTTGTACATAGATTTTCAAAAAAAATGTTCATCCATTTTTTTCAAGATAAATGCTCTTACTAATTGTTTATCATTGACTTCATTTTTTTCTTCATAAAATACAAAAACAACGTTCAACATTATTAGGAAATTCTCATAATTTTGTTTTCATAAAAATAAAACACGTTCATTGTTTTGAAATCGCTAACATTTTTTTAATTCAAAAATTGTTTTTGAATTTGGTGAATATTTTTCAAATCTGTGAGCATTTATCATTTTCCGAACATTTTTAAATCATGAATAATTTTAAATTCTTGAACATTTCAAAAATTTCAACTTTTTTCAAATCCCAAATTATTTTTTAAAAGGAAAATTGTTAAAACAGTAAAAAGCAAAACAAAAGGGGCTTCCTGGTTTTCCCGAATAACACATGGGCTCTTGCTGGTTCCCTGGCGCCATACGCGCCAAATAGGAGGTCCGCACATAAGCGGCTTTTGGGGGTCGACCCTATGTCTTGCTTATAGAGAGACCTAGAAACCCTCGCTGAAGGTGATAAGTGAGATCGGCCGGTCCAAGAGCAAAGGAGGTAACAACCTCCTTGTTTTCTTTCCTTTTTACCTTTTTTGCCTAGTCGACACCCTTCTCTTGGTCCACGAGGTTAGCCTCGCGGGAGGTTCGGATTTGAATTCGGGAGCCGCCGCCCAGGCTGCGTCGCATGGTTTGGTGATGTAGAACCACTCTTTCTGCCAGACCTTGACGATGTCCAAGCAATCACACAAGCACGACACTGAGATTTGTTAACGAGATTCACCGATATGGCTACACCCCCGGGCCTGGGCGCTCCTCCTTGTGACACCGTCACAATACCGCACACCGGCCACCCGGGCGTCGGCACATGCTGCCGGCTCCACCTTGTGCGCATGTGCTATTATGTTGGCATATGTTACATCGTGTATCTATCCCCGCAATATATGAAAGGCATATGATACAAATTTCATATCCTATCTAAACACAATACTACTCATTGTCCAAATGGAACCTACCTTGTACAATAATATTCGACACAACTCTAACAGGCCGACCCAACATGCACTGTATAATGCCACCCATGTCCCTTTCCACATATACTTGCAGGACGTACAACTCCCCTATTTTGTCTATATATATGGAGAATTTCACGGTCTAGTGAACACTTGGATCCAATCTAGTCTACCTCGACTTTTCATTTTACCCACATACTTGTCTATTTAAGATAGTGACGGTCTAACTTCAAAACAAACCATGTTGACTAGACTTGTCATAACATACCTAAAAGATCTGGGGAGGTAATTGTCGTCTAGTCCGAGACCGTCCAAGTTCGTCGACTAAAGGCCCACATTGCACCCTTGCATATATTTCCACAGCTACTTGCACAACGTACAGCTACCCTTCTTGTCCATACCGGCAATTGGCAGGTCAGTGGGCACTTGAATCCAATCTAGGCTACCTCGTGTTTTCCTTTACCCTATCCTCATGTATTTATGATGAGAAAATTGCAAAAAGAACCACCACATTTGTCTTTAGTTTTTTTTTTAAAATACCACTTTTCAAATGAAATGAAATAAACCACCAGTTCATCCTCTAATGTTTTGCTCGGTTGACGTTGTTTCTGACCAGTGGGACCCACTTTCAGGATGACGTGGCTCACGGTAACGGGCAAACGGCCGCCAGATCCCAATCTATTGTTTCAGCACTATATAGTTGTAAATTAATAATCTTGTGAACGGGAGAAGTTGTTAGTAGTAAAGGTTGCAGCCATCCTCATAATACATATTTATTCCCACACAAGGGTAGGACGGTTACGTCGCCACCGTAATATTCTTGTCATGGATGTGTAGCTCCGTGGCAAAAGGGGGCTAACGGGCAGTGGATTTTAGGGGGGCACATAGTTTCCTCTTGAATTGAACAACACCTGTGTCCTTTTCGGAAATCAATTAACCCATATGTCCTTTTCGGAAAAACATAAACAACCACATAAAGCAAGAAAATAAGTCGCGACAGATTGCGGTATGTGATTTTGTGCCCTCTTTCCATTTGACAAAGTAAGTTTCATCACAGCCAGGAAATCAATTAACCTATATGAATAGCATAAAAACGTAATTTAACATACAAGAAATAGAATAATACAATTTGTTTATTGCTTCTAACTCATATTTCCATCATCAAGAACTGGCTACAGATGTTTTCGTGAGAAGAAAATTAAATTTTGATCCGACCTTCGGTGTGCACTTCACAGATAGGACGCGTTCTCTCTCATGGTCTAGATCTGTCCTCAGAGAAGGTTTAGATTCCACACAACCTCCGGGAATGCTTCTGCGGAACGACCTCAAATTTTTACCGTGCCCTCCTGGGGCCGTTCGACGACGCTGCGCCAGGTCCCTCGAATTACCGGCCCCTTGAGGATTTCTGGTGGTTTAAATGACAGCAAACCGCACGCAGGCGGCCCCTCCGTGGCCCCCGGTGCCGGGCCCTCCCTCTCGGTTGGGCACGCAGGGCCTGGGCATGGACTGACGACCACATGTAGGGACCTCAAGCAATATCCGTCCATGAGTTTATGTGGCGCAAATCTTGAATTTCTGGCGTTAAACCCTAGAAATGCACTAAATGCATGGAATATGGTTGGCGCCCCCGAAAAAGGCGAGGAGCATGGACTCTGGTGAGCCCAGAAAAAGTTTCAGGTCCAACAGAGGAGCGAGCACCGCACCCACTTCACAAACATGACATGTTCCCTCTCATGGTCTAGATCTTTTCTCGGAGATGGTCTAGTTTCCACAAAACCTCCGAGAATGCTTCTGCGGAACGACCTCAAATTTTTACCACGCCCTCTAGGGGCTGTTCGATGATGCCGCGCCAGGTCACTTGAATTACCGGCTCCTCTAGGATTTTCGATGATTTAAACGGCAACAACCCGCATGTTGGCGGCCCCTCCGTGGCCCCCGGTGCCAGGCCCTTCCTCCCGGTTGGGTGCACAGGGCCCAGTCATGGGCCGAGGACCACATGCAGGGACATCGAGCCCTATCCGTCCATGAGTTTATGTGGTGGCGGCGCAGATCTTGAACTACTGGCGTTAAACCCTAGAAATGCACTAAATGCACGGAATATGGCTGGCGTGAAGGAAATATGCCCTAGAGGCAATAATAAAGTTATTATTTATTTCTTTATTTCATGATAAATGTTTATTATTCATGCTAGAATTGTATTAACCGGAAACACAATACATGTGTGAATACATAGACAAACATAGTGTCACTAGTATGCCTCTACTTGACTAGCTCGTGAATCAAAGATGGTTAAGTTTCCTAGCCATGGACAAAAGAGTTGTCATTTGATTAACGGGATCACATCATTAGGAGAATGATGTGATTGACTTGACCCATTCCGTTAGCTTAGCACATGATCGTTTAGTATGTTGCTACTGCTTTCTTCATGACTTATAAATGTTCCTGTGACTATGAGATTATGCAACTCCCGTTTATCAGAGGAACACTTTGTGTGCTACCAAACGTAACAACGTAACTGGGTGATTATAAAGGTGCTCTACAGGTGTCTCCGAAGGTACATGTTGGGTTTGCGTATTTCGAGATTAGGTTTTGTCACTCCGATTGTCGGAGAGGTATCTCTGGGCCCTCTCGGTAATACACATCACTTAAAGCCTTGCAAGCATTGCAACTAATGAGTTAGTTGTGGGATGATGTATTACGGAACGAGTAAAGAGACTTGCCGGTAACGAGATTGAACTAGGTATTGGATACCGACGATCGAATCTCGGGCAAATAACATACCGATGACAAAGGGAACAACGTATGTTGTTATGCGGTTTGACCGATAAAGATCTTCGTAGAATATGTAGGAGCCAATATGAACATCCAGGTTCCACTATTGGTTATTGACCGGAAACAGTTCTAGGTCATGTCTACATAGTTCTCGAACCCGTAGGGTCCACACGCTTAAGGTTTCGATGACAGTTATATTATGAGTTTATGAGTTTTGATGTATCGAAGGAGTTCGGAGTCCCAGATGAGATCGGGGACATGACGAGGAGTCTCAAAATGGTCGAGACGTAAAGATCGATATATTGTACGACTATATTCGGAGTTCGGAAAGGTTCCGAGTGATTCGGGTATTTTTCGGAGTACCGGAGAGTTACGGGAATTCGCCGGGCAGATATATGGGCCTTATTGGGCCATACGGGAATAGAGGAGAGAGGCCGAAAGGAAGGAGGTGCGCAGCCCCCCTCTGGTCCGAATTGGACAAGGGGTGCAGCCCCTTTTCCTTCCTCCTCTCCCCCTCTTTCCTTCTCTCCTACTCCAACAAGGAAGGGGGGGGGGGGTCCTACTCCCGGTGGGAGGAGGACTCCTCCTGGCGCGCCCCTCCTGGCCGGCCGCACCTCCCCCCTCCCTCCTTTATATACGGGGGCAGGGGGCACCCCATAGACACACAAGTTGATCTACGGATCGTTCCTTAGCCGTGTGCGGTGCCCCCCTCCATCATATTCCACCTCGGTCATATCGTCGCGGAGTTTAGGCGAAGCCCTGCGCCGGTAGAACATCATCATCATCACCACGCCGTCGTGCTGATGGAACTCATCCCCGACGCTTTGCTGGATTGGAGCCCGGGGAACGTCATCGAGCTGAACGTGTGCTGAACACGGAGGTGCCGTACGTTCGGTACTTGAATCGCTCGAGTCGTGAAGACGTACGACTACATCAACCGTGTTGTGATA